GGGGGAGAGCAGAAGGGGCCGCGGCTGCGCATCCCCGCCCTGCCCCGCACGAGCAGGTGTCCCCAGGGGCGGGGGCAAGTGTGAGAGCCCGAAGAGGGTGGAGGAAGGGGAGTGGCCAAGGAAGGGGAGTGTGCACACGAATAGACTAGGTGTGTGTCTGGGAGTGGGAGATGAACGGGTGAGCATGGAAGGTGAGTGGTCAAAGGACGCAGGTGTACCGGGGAGGGAGAGGCTTGTGCAAAATGGGAATGTGCAAAGAAAGAGCTGTTAAAGCGTCGGAGGTGTGAAGGAGGTACATGGGCAAGGGAGGGACTCAAGCAATATACACTTTACCCAAAGGGCTGAAAAGTGTGCTCGATGGGGACTGGGAAAGAGCGGTGTGTAAGGAATGGAGTCGCGTTGTCTGAGAAACAGAAGCCTGTGATTGTAATGTGTGAAGGAGGTGAGTGAGCAGGGGAGGTAGAAGTGCTAAAGGGATGGGAGTGTCTTTCCTGGTACTCTCCTGCCCTAACCTCTACTACATTGAAGTGAACAACGCACACACTTACCCTTTGCTCTTATGGAGCCTTCACTCTGAGAAAAAGCTCTACCCTCATCACATGTTTTTCTGCCTTACACTTATATTCTCCCTCTCCTTCCCTTTGCAAAGCTGAGGGAAAAGGGATTCCAGGGGAGCTCATTGGGTCAAACGCACTGGGAAAAAAATTAATTAGTGAAAGAGTAATTAACAGAAGAAGGGAGGGGACAGAGCCTGGGACAGACTGCCAAATTAAGGTTCCTCAATAGAAAGTGATGGAGAGACAGTAATGTTCCCATGAAGTATTCAAATGTTTTGGATGGACTAATGAATGAATCAGAAAAAGAGGCTGGGACCCAAGCAGACAGAGAAGACGGCTTCTGTTGTAAAGAGAGTAAGGTGCGAAGGGCTTATGTGGAAGGTGAGGCTGAAGTGGGGAATGCTGGTGTGGGAAGGGAGTTTGAAAAACTTAGACACTTATCTTCGCCTCCAGAAGGCTTACAAAGCACCCACCCCTAGCAAGGTAGCCAATAAAACATTCACCTCTTGAGCCCCTTAGTCAGTTCAGTCCTTGAGATTTTTCTTACTAGTGTTTCAGCTGCCCTTGCCAGGAGGGGCCCAGGGCTACAAGTATCAGGATGGAAAGAGGAGGCATCTGTATTAACATGTATTCCATTTTGCTCTAAATCACGGTTTATATTCATCTTCTAGTTTGAACTCTTATATTCTCAGCCAGATAGTTAAGGAAAACAAGTTAGAGTGGAAGGAGTGGCAAATAGGGTAATAAAATGGCTTTAGATTTTACACAAATTCTCACAAATGAGACACTAACTGCTTTCCTCCTTTACTCCCATACCCTCAAAGGGCTGGGACATGAAGACCTTGGAGCCAATAAAACAAAGAAAGTAGGAGAAATCTACCTACGTCTACCTCGGTGTCTGTGGGCAGAGGCCATTTGGGAAAAAGTGTGTTCTGGACACCGCTAAGTGCTAAGAAAGAGGCACTAGGGAAAAAGAGGGAAGCACAATGACTCCAAATGAGCAGTCACAAGGTTTACAGGAGACATGTCATTTTCATTCATTGTGGTGGTCTGGAGGGTGCAGGGGGTGTGGTGGTAACTTTCTTGCACATGTACACTCCTGTATCCATCTTATATATTACATGTAATAAATAATATATACATACATATATACATAGAAGTATATATACACATATATAAATATCACATAATCATAGAACCGTCCTACTGGGGAAAAAAAAAAAAACTTAAAGGTCAAGTATTCCTGTCTCCTGCTCATTAATAACTTCTCTGCCAGATGGCCTCAGGTCTTTGCATTAACACTCCCAGGGAGATTTGGAAGTTGAGAAAAGAGGGGGCATTACCTTGTCACTGAACCTGTTGGATTACTGTATTAATTTGCCTTCTGTCCGTCCTTTAATCGTAGTTTTGCCCTCAAATGGGCATTGTTTACTCCCTATTTTAGAAGACCCCATTGTTGGCTACATCTTTCTAGATAGTCGTACCACTACTTTAAAGGGCCAGTGACAGACACCAGAAACAAAACAAAATAAAAACCCACATACACACTGGAAGCAAGCACTCAGTAAAATGTTGTAGAATTAATGAATGAATCAATGACACAAATGAGAGTATGTTTTATCATGGTGGAGCGAAAAAGTGACAGCATCACCTCTGGTACCCCAACTCCCATTCCCTCCCCAATGTAGACAGGCTGAAAGACCGGTAGTGAGACTGGAGTTCAGCCTTCAGACCGGTAGTGAGACAATCCTTCAGCCGGGAGTTGGGCTCTGGGTGGCCTACGTTGCCATGGCACCGCCTCGGGCTCCACCCTCTCTTGTCCCCTTACCGCGCCCCCCCGCGGCGGGGGTTGTGGCAGCCAGTCACGTGCCCGCCGCGTAACCACACCTCTGCTCCTCAGAGCAATGTCAAGCGGTCACGTGTGATAGCAACAGATCACGTGGCTACCATCGCCCCTCCGCCCCCTTACACTCTTCGCCCTCCTCCCCGTCAAAGCGGCTCCTGGCCACCCCTCCGCGCATGGGTGGCGGTCACGTGCCCAGAACGTCCGGCGTTCGCCCCGCCCTCCCAGTTTCCGCGCGCCTCTTTGGCAGCTGGTCACATGGTGAGGGTGGGGGTGAGGGGGCCTCTCTAGCTTGCGGCCTGTGTCTATGGTCGGGCCCTCTGCGTCCAGCTGCCCCGGACCGAGCTCGGGTGTATGGGGCCGTAGGAACCAGCTCCGGGGCCCCGATAACGGGCCGCCCCCGCAGCACCCCGGCCTGGCGTGAGGTAAGCGCAGTCCCTTCCCGGGAATGAGAACCAGTGCCCGCCCCCCTCACAGTTTTCCACGCGTTCGTTTCTCGAGCTGGTTATGGAGGGGTCGCTCAAGGGCGGGAAGTGGGGCCTTTGTGGTCATTGGAAAGTATAATTTTAGGGACTGAGGTGTAGGATCTTCGATGCAAGGCATGTGTCATGTGTGATCTTTGTGCAGGGCGCGATTGTCCCAAAGGAAAATGCGTTTTTTATTGCAGGGCCTCACGTGGCTGGAGGGGTTGGTATTGAGTCATTGTGTTATCTCTGGGGCCGGCCCCAAGGAAGACTGCGAGCGGGGGATGGGATGCTAGTGTTGCTCTTTGTGCTTTTTTTTGGGAGTCCTTTTGTTGCTGCAGGCTCGTACCATCCTAATTCTGTAAGGGACTTTTGGTGATAGGAGTCTGTGATTGTAGGGTCGCCCTTGATCTGAGAATGGCTACCTCTCGATATGAGCCAGTGGCTGAAATTGGTGTCGGTGCCTATGGGACAGTGTACAAGGCCCGTGATCCCCACAGTGGCCACTTTGTGGCCCTCAAGAGTGTGAGAGTCCCCAATGGAGGAGGAGCTGGAGGAGGCCTTCCCATCAGCACAGTTCGGGAGGTGGCCTTACTGAGGCGACTGGAGGCTTTTGAACATCCCAATGTAGTCCGGTGAGAAGGTGGTGACGAGGGGAGTGGGGAGTAAAGGGAAAAGACAGCCTATAGGTGGGGTGTGGTGATCTGTAGAGAAGTGGGGACCCTGAGGAAATAATGAGAGGCCATGTTGGGTTAAAGGGGATTGAAAAGTGAGCATTTACTCTGGCCAGGCTGATGGACGTCTGTGCCACATCCCGAACTGACCGGGAGATCAAGGTAACCCTGGTGTTTGAGCATGTAGACCAAGACCTAAGGACGTATCTGGACAAAGCACCCCCACCAGGCTTGCCAGCCGAGACCATCAAGGTGAGTGGGGTTGGTAGGCATTGAGAGGTGGATTGGGACCTTTGTAGTAAAACCTCCTGGGATTTCAGGTATGGTGCCTAGTTTCCAGTGCATCTGTACCTCCCCCTTCTAAACTAGGATTTGATGCGCCAGTTTCTAAGAGGCCTAGATTTTCTTCATGCAAATTGCATCGTTCACCGAGATCTGAAGCCAGAGAACATTCTGGTGACAAGTGGTGGAACAGTCAAGCTGGCTGACTTTGGCCTGGCCAGAATCTACAGCTACCAGATGGCACTTACACCCGTGGTCAGTAGAAAGATGGTACCAAAATGGGTTCTGGTTGGGAGTAGGAGAGTGATTGCCTGTAGCAATTGAGAAGTCATGTGCTTCATGTGTTCAGTCAAGCAAGTTGTGTTTTGTGGTAACCCATGGAGTCCCCATCCATTCTTCCTATTCTCTTTAGGTTGTTACACTCTGGTACCGAGCTCCCGAAGTTCTTCTGCAGTCCACATATGCAACACCTGTGGACATGTGGAGTGTTGGCTGTATCTTTGCAGAGATGTTTCGTCGAAAGTATGGGACCCACATACCCTGGACCACCTTGAATTCCCCAAATCGCTTGTTCATAAACCACGTCCACACCCTGCCCATTCTTTCTTTTTCTTTTTCTTTTTTTTTTTTTTTGAGACCAGGGCTTGCTTTGTTGCTCAGGCTGGATTGCAATGGCATGATCACAGCTCACTGCAGCTTCAACCTCCTGGGCTCAAGTGATCCTCCCATCTCAGCCTCCCAAGTAGCTGACACTCCATGCCCAGCTAGTTTTTTAATATTTCTGTAGAGAGGGGGTCTCAGTATATTGCCCAGGCTGGTCTTGAACTCTTGTACTCAAGCAGTCCTCCCACCGCTACCTCCCAAAGTGCTGGGATTACAAGCATGAACTACTGGACCTGGCCCCATTCTTTTACTTGCATACTACTGACTACTTTGCCCATAGCAGAAAGCTCTGAAATGTTCTAGAATTAGGAACTTCATATCCCTTTATTCTCTTTTATTTATTTATTTATTTATTTTTGCAATAAGGTTTCACTGTCACCCAGGCTGGAGTGCAATGGCCCAATTACAGCTCACTGTAGCCTCTATCTCCTGGGCTCAAGCAATTCTCCCGTCTCAGCCTCCTGAGTAGCAGAAACTATAGGTGCATGCCACCATGACTGGCTTTTTTTTTTTTTTTTTTGAGACGGAGTCTCGCCTTGTCGCCAGGCTGGAGTGCAGTGGTGCAATCTCAGCTCACTGCAACCTCTGCCTCCCAGGTTCAGGTGATTCTCCTGACTCAGCCTCCCAAGTAGCTGGGACTACAGGTGCGTGCCACCACGTCCAGCTAATTTTTGTATTTTTAGTAGAGACGGGGTTTCACCATGTTGGCCAGGATGGTCTCAATCTCTTGACCTCATGATCCGCCTGCCTCAGCCTCCCAACGTGCTGGGATTACAGGCGTGAGCCACTGTGCCCAGCAATTTTTTTTTTTTTTTTTTTTTTTAAGAGACAAGGTCTTGCTTGCCCAGGCTGATCTGGAACTCCTGGGCTCAAGCAGTCCTCTCACCTCAGCATCCCAAAGTGCTGGAATTATTGACCTTTATTCCCTGTGCTTTCTATTTTGAGCCACTAAGCAGTAACCATTCAACTAAGATATCTTTGAAAATGACTGCTACCTTATGTCCCTTCTCACCTTAGGCCTCTCTTCTGTGGAAACTCTGAAGCTGACCAGTTGGGCAAAATCTTTGAGTAAGTGACCAACGTGGGAGAAAAAGGTTTTCTATTTTGAGTCCTCTTTCTGCTAAGCCCAGGATGGCAACTGGCTCTGCCCATGGGGATGGGAACTGGAGGACCCTCCTGACCAGAGTTCTCCTGTCCCCCACAGCCTGATTGGGCTGCCTCCAGAGGATGACTGGCCTCGAGATGTATCCCTGCCCCGTGGAGCCTTTCCCCCCAGAGGGCCCCGCCCAGTGCAGTCGGTGGTACCTGAGATGGAGGAATCGGGAGCACAGCTGCTGCTGGTACTGGGGATGGCTGTGGGCATAGGGAGAGACTGGAGAAAGAAATAGAGCAGTGTGCAGGGCCCTGGCCACTGTGGTTAATGAAACTTGGTTGGTAGATGGGCTGTAGTTTTTATTACAGCTGCAGATGGCCACCCACAGAGAGGGATATGGAAGAGAACCCATCCTGGCTGGGCGTGGTGGCTCACGCCTGTAATCCCAGCACTTTGGGAGGCCAAGGTGGGGAGATCACCTGAAGTCAGAAGTTGGGAGACCAGCCTGGCCAACGTGTTGAAACCTTGTCTCTACTAAAAATGCAAAAATAAGCCAGGCGTGGTGGTGCACGCCTGTAATCCCAGCTACTTGGGAGGCTGAGGCAGGAGAATCACTTGAACTCAGGAGGCAGAGGTTGCAGTGAGCTGAGATCATACCATTGCACTCCAGCCTGGGCAACAGAGCGAGACTCCGTCTCAAAAAAAAAAAAAAAGAAAGAAAGAAAAGAAGAGAGCTCATCCCAGGTATTGTCATGGGTGGGTAGAAGTCTCTCTCAGTTTTCTTCATGGTTTTCTGACCTTTGCCTCTCCCCTCAGGAAATGCTGACTTTTAACCCACACAAGCGAATCTCTGCCTTTCGAGCTCTGCAGCACTCTTATCTACATAAGGATGAAGGTAATCCGGAGTGAGCAATGGAGTGGCTGCCGTGGAAGGAAGAAAAGCTGCCATTTCCCTTCTGGACACTGAGAGGGCAATCTTTGCCTTTATCTCTGAGGCTGTGGAGGCTCCTCCTCCATCTTTCTACAGAGATTACTTTGCTGCCTTAACATTTCCCTCCTACCTCTCCTTTTGAGGCTTCTCCTTCTCCTGCCCCACTATTTCTCTACACTAAGGGATATGTTCCCACTTGTCCCTCTCCCTACCTTTATATTTGGGGTCCTTTTTTATACAGGAAAAACAAAACAAAGAAATAATGGTCTTTTTTTTTTTTTTTTAATGTTTCTTCCCCTGTTTGGCTTTGCCATTGTGCGATTTGGAATAACCACTTGGAAGAAGGGACTTTCCTGCAAAACCTTAAAGACTGGTTAAGTTACAGGGCCTAGCAAGTCAGTGGAGCCCCTTGACTGACAAAGCTTAGAAAGGAACAGAAATTGCTTCTTTGAATATGGATTTTAGGGCGGGGCACGGTGGCTCACACCTATAATCTCAGCACTTTGGGAGGCCAACGCGGGTGGATCACCTGAGGTCAGGAGTTCGAGACCAGCCTGACTAACATGGTGAAACCCTGTCTCTACTAAAAATACAAAATTAGCCAGGCGTGGTGGCGCACACCTGTAATCCCAGCTGCTTGGGAGATTGAGGCAGGAGAATCGCTTGAACCTGGGAGGCAGAGGTTGCGGTGAGCTGAGATCATGCCATTGCACTCCAGCCTGGGCAACAGAGCAAGACTCAATGTCAAAAAAAAAATATATATATATATAGATTTTTAAATGGCTTTTTTATATTCACTGAACTTTCTCAAACTGGGTCCTGCTTATTACAGGAAAGAGCTCTTGGTGGTTTTCTCCTTGGCTCTGTCCCTGATTTACCCTTAGAGCCACACCCCAGGGTATGTTGAGGTGATCCAGCATATGGACGGAGGAGGGGAAACAGCTAAGAATGACTCCAGTCCATCCTGTGTACCCTCAGAAGCTTCCCATATCCTCTTGGAGAGAGAGGGAGAAAGTTTTTCCTTTTATTCCTTATAGTCTGGCTCCCACTAAAATATGTCAAGGCATAAAGTCTTGCTATTCCATCAATTTTAGAGGATTTGACAAGGGGCCTTTCCTTTTTCTCAAACCAAAATGGTTACAGACCCTAGATATTCCCTAAGGGAGGAAGAGAAAGCTTAGAGCAGAAGAGAAGTCAGAAGGATCCAAAGTCTCATAGAAAGGCACTGGGGTTGGCTCTAGGATCCTTCTGATTCCGAAATCTCATTGCTAGCCAAACACCAAGGATCTGTAGGAACAAAGGGAGAGAGAAGCATCAATCAATTATCAGTCTCAAGTTGAAAAGGATGTGCATGAGGAAACTGGAGAATGTACCTCTGTAAAGCTAAAGAAGAGTCCAACACCCCCTAGGATTTTCAGGGCTTCATCTGAATGCTTAAGAAACTTTTCTCCACACATCTGGCATGTGGGGCTCTGGCTCTTGCAGATCTGAGGATAAAACGTGTGTGTGAAGAATGCAAAGTTGCTAATGTAAAGTCGCTAGTCACCAATACCTATGCCGAATGTCTCTAGAAACTTTCCTGTTATCTGACCAGCGTCCTACAAACTAAAATCCGACTTTGCTAATTCCCCAGCCTCTTTATCCACCCCCACCGCCCACCAATACACAGCCCCAATACAAGAGGGCTTCTCGAGAGAGAAACAATGACATTCGAACTAAATTTGCCAACTTGGGCATTGTCCTTACCCAGTTTCCTACCTCCCCTGGCTGCTGCACCACCCCCAACACACTCACTGCAGTGCAGAAATCATAATCTTGTTGATACAGGGTTGTGAGGTTGAATAAGCCACAACAATCAAAACTTCTTTCCAGTTCATCCCGAGTCTTGTTGCTCATGACCCACCAAGAAGCATTGATGACATCTGTCTGGAGGATATGGGCAGAGAGAAATTAAGTCTCCCTACATCCCAGTATCAGTTCAAGTGCCTCAATTTCCCTAGCCCAGCAAAAGAAGTCAGCCAGAAGCATAACAGTGTGCCACAATTATAGACACAATAAATATCTACCTTTTCAGGTTCTCTAGATCATCCTCATGAAAAATTAACCAGACATTCCAGAGGAAGCAAATAGCCCAAGGGGCCAGAAGCAGTGCACCTAAGGATGATCTTTGGGTAGCTGGGGCCAGACTAAGGAAGGAGTTTGAGGTTAAGAGGAAAATTTTAAAAAGCAAGTAAGTACTTGAAAGGGTACTGTCTTACCTGTTTGCTTCGGTTAATAGCCAGACATGAGCAAGAGATTACAAATTGGAAGATGAAGACCAAACCAAGAATGATCATGTACTGAGAGGAAAGGTTATGGAAAAAAGTCCTAGATTCCTTTATGTTCCATCTATAACTGGTCTCATCTGTTCATAGAACTTATACCACCATGTCAAATTGAAAGCAATAAAATCAGCTCTTGTTTCGTAGATTATGGGACAGGGCAGGGCAAGGAGACATGTCCAAGATCCCTGAGGTCCCCTACCCTTTTAACATCTTCCATAGATGACAGCCCTCCCAAGAGCCCAGTTGCCCCCATCACTTCAGGTCAGGATACAAAGAACAGCAGGACTTGGTGGTGGTTGACAGCACCCACCAGTCCAGCCACTGCGATAAGGAGAAGGAAGACTCCCACAGCAATGACTCCGCCGATGATGTGGATGCTGGACACCAGACCCAGGCCCTTGCCCCAAGCAGCCACTCCAATGAGCAACAAGCTCACCAGCTACAAAGAAAGAGCAGGATACATCTCAAAAATTCTAGCATGAGCACGGCCCAAAGCCATTACAAGAGGACTTGGGGGCGGGGGTGGGGAAGGAATAATAGAATGGTGTGTGAATGGGAGGGAGGGGGGTGGGCGGGGCGGGGGTGGTGCTATCGCCACCAGGAGCATCCCTGGGCATTCCCAAAGGTTAGAATGGCTGGGATGGGGTATAGGGGGTGGCAGGGATAGTACTATGAATACAAAAGCTGAACCCTCAGGATCATCCTATCACTTCTACTTTGGGAGAAACTGAGGTTCAAAGGAGGGAGGGATGGAACTTATGCCCACGGTCTTAAGTTCATTCCCCCACCCCCAGACAAACCCCTTCATCAACCGGTAGTCTTCCCTCTCCCACGGAAGTCCCCAGGAATTCCCTCTTCGCCGGAAGTTCCTGGGAATCTTCCCGGAACCCCTATACACCCCTTTCCCCACCGGAAGTACCCTGGAGATTCTCCCCACGAGGCCTTTGCGCCCGAAAGCTTCCCCCACCTCCAAAACCTCACCATGTAGACCACGTTGAGAGCGCAAAGCGCATTCTTGGAGCAGGCAAAGCCGCCGCAAACCATCTCCCCAGCTCTGGGGACCCAAGTGGTCCCAAGGACTTGGGGGGAGGGTATTGGGGACCGTCTTCCAGGACCCCGACAGCTTCTGTCTCTTTAAATCGAGGCCAGCCAAACCCAATTTTCTGCGCCTGCACCGTCCCTCCCCTGCCTCTGGATTGGCGAAATGCGTGGCTAATCCTGGACGTCCAAGGCCTGCATGCCAATCAGCCCGCATTACGTCACTGACCCGCCTTCTGTCCTCCTCCTCTTGTTTTTTCATTGGGCGAAACTGAAAACTAGGGGCAGGGCTTCTAGAGATTCTCTCTGGGACAACAGTCTAAACTCCAAAAGCTTGAGTTGAAAGCTGAGCTTTCTGTGGTCGGAGTTAGGAGAGGGCTAATTCGAGGGAGACGGCTCTGGAGGAATTTAGGTGAAGGGGACACGGCGGGAGGGGCAGGTGGGGGGCCGCTCCGAGAGCTGGGCAGAAAGGGCTCCACCGGTAGAAGGAGGGCCCTTCCGCCCTCCCTTCCCCCTGTGCTGCAGTGACTTCATGATGACGCCATTGTTTTGTTAATGCGTCACGCTCGGGAACACCCAAAGGAGCCACATATTGAGCTTATTTAGCCCGGCCACAGAGTCCGCGGGTTGGACACAGCAACACCCAGCAAATCATCATACGTTTGTGTGTCCGCCAGTACCCATGTCCTCTACCATATACCCTCCTAAAAGGGGTGTGAATATACCAGAAATTCAGTGTGGAAATAGCGGTCTCAGGCCAGCGCATTCCTGTGTGTGGCATTGCTACAAGTGCACACACGGGTGTGCTCAGCATTTTCAGAGTACACGCCTGATCCAGGGCTTGCAAAAAATGACAGGCAAGAGGAAGAGTCTTGGATATAAATAAATATAAGGGGAAGGAGTCTCCACCTTTTCACTTACGGGTGGACTGATCAGTAACTTTATTATCTAGTAAGTGCTTTGACAAACCGTCCTTTTCACGGGGGTAGGGAAAGGCATAATCCTTCTCTCCCCAGGAGAAAGAAACAGTAGGAACAAAAAAGAAAACCCTCTAATCAACTCAACAGAATGATTTATGTTTGTGTGTACTTAGATTCTATAGTCTACTGCCACAGTCAGATTGCCACTTGGATTGCCACTTCTAGCTGTGTAACCTTTGGCCAGGCACTTAGAAACTGTCTGTGCCTGTTTCCTCATCTGTAAAATGGGGATAAATAACAACACACCTACCTCTTGGGTTGTGAGAATTAAATGAGTTAATATATGTAGAATACTTAGAAGAGTACCTGGCACATAGTAAACACTCAATGTTAATTATTACTTTTCAGGTCATTTTACAGGTTCCTGTGGGCAATTCCAACCTTAATTCCCTTATCTGTAACTACACGGTATTGATATAAACTTTCAGAAATTAATATCAAAAAGGTATGCAGAAGACATATTTGACAGGGCCAGAGAGGTGTTTGGGTCTTGAAACAAGGTAATGTATTATTATTATTATTATTATTATTATTTTGAGACAGAGCCTTCCTTTGTAGTCCAGGATGGAGTGCAGTGGCGCGATCTCAGTTCACTGCAACCTCCACCTCCCGGGTTCACACAATTCTCCTGCCTGGCTCAGCCTCCCGAGTACCTGGAATTACAGCTGCCCACCACCACGCCCAGCTTTTTTTTTTTGTATTTTTAGTAGAGACAGGGTTTTGCCATGTTGGCCAGGATGGTGGCAAACTCCTGACCGTAGGTGATCTGCCTGCCTGGGCCTCCCAAAGTGCTAGGATTACAGGCCTCCAGTGTAAACAAAGTAATTAAGTCAAACTACCCACTACCTCCCACCTCCCACCCCCTCACTCCCCACCTACATCCCCTTCCTACCCCAACTCCCATCTTCATTGTCTCCTTCAATTCCTCATCTACCTTCTTTTCTTTCAGGTCCTAAATCAAGGGCAAGACAATGGTATTAGAAGGGGAACTGGCTGACAAGCATTTTGGTTGTGTGGTGTAGTGAAAGGGGTATCAAAATTATAATCAATCTGGGCTTTATGTGCCTGGTGAAAACTAAAAATAAAAAAGTAAAAATAAAATAAAATCAGAAGACCTAAATCCATGTCTTTGTTTCACCTCTTAATGGCTTCTCTGAGCCTTAGTTTCCTTTTATTCAGAATAGGTATAAATAATCTTACCCCTCAGGGCTGTCATGAGGATAATATATATGAAAGTAGGTTGTAAACTATTAAGTGTTATAGACATGTTAATTATTATGAAACTGATTGAACATGGAACATGGTAGTTTTTGTCTTTTTATAGGTTACTTTCCTCCTTCAGAACTCATTTTCCCCGTAATCACTTGGCCTATTTATTTATTTATTTATTTATTTATTTTTGACATGGAGTCTCACTAAGTCACCCAGGCTGCAGTGCAATGCACTGCAACCTCCACCTCCTTGGCTCACTGCAACCTCCACCTCCTGGGTTCAAGTGATTCTCCTGCCTCAGCCTCCCAAGGTGCTGGAATAACAGGCATGAGCCACCACGCCTGGCCTCACTTGGCCCTTTTAAACAGGAGGTGGCCTCAGTGGGTAGCTGACTGAAAAAGGGTTACGTTGTAAGACATAAGGATACAGAGCTCATTGAGATATGTAGAGAGGGCGATGGGTACAAGTGTACACTAGAATGCAGGGCTCTGAAGGTAACAGACCAAGTGTGCATGAATTCCTGTGAGAGTTCGAAATCTCCAAGTCATCAAGAGTTTAGGATTGCACCTGGGACCTAGCTTGCCATATTCTCCCAGAACCAACACCCATTTTAATTAACCACCTCCCACAGGAGGCCCTGGGACACTGTTAAGATCTCTCCATCCACCTGGCTGGGAAATCATAGCAGGGGCTGGCTGGCAGGGCTGATGGGCCAACACTAGAGGGGGTGGGAGGTGCAGGAGGTAGTGCTGTCCCAGGCTGTGGGTTTGAAACTCACCAGTCAGGAAGTGAGGTCTATAGACGGAAGGGCGGGCAGGGGCGGGGAGTTCTGGGCACAGCAGAAGGGGCCTTCTGAGGTTTGGGGGCTGTAGGGCCATGGGCCTCAGGACCAGAGGTGGTTGTTAGCCTGGAAAGACAGGTCTGGGCAACATGCATGCCCAGAGGCAGTTCGTTGTAGCTGCAGTGAGAGCAGAAGTCAAACGACATGAGGTGGCCAAGCAGGCTCTAAAACGCCTCAGGAAGCTGGCAGAGAGAGTGGACGACCCTGAACTTCAGGACAGCATCCAGGCCTCATTAGACAGTATTCAAGGTAAGAGAAAGGTCAGCCCTCAACTTGGGTGTATCGGGGACTAGCAGGTGCATAGAAGGGTTAGCTGTATCATATATCACTTCCCAGTCGGCTACTTCCTAGTCCCCAAGATGGAGCTGGGACTCTGGGGAAGAATACATTTAGGGAGGATGGAAATAGACATGGGAGGTATCATTCTGTCTTTTTCCCTGCTCTGATCCCTCTCCCAGGAGATCAAAATACAGGTCCCTGTTGAGCTGACCTTCTTGGCAATGAAGAAATGTGTGAGCATGAGGAAGATAGGCTGTGACAGACTCATGGTAGACTTGGTCCCTGCCTGGGGAGTCCAGAACAGGAAGCAGTCTGGAGCAGCAGGTTCTGGGACTGGATAATGATTTCATTCCCAGGACCCACTAAGGATCAGTGACCTCTTGTTCTCCAGCTGTAGAGAGACACATGCACACACGTACACACACACACGCATGCACATTGAAGTACATCATGCAGAGAATCTTAGGCTCCCAAGCGCATACTAACTCTAACATGCCATGCTCTGCAGAGCCAGAGTGCAGATATGTCCCCAGAACTCTTCTTGGTCCCCTCTCCTCCCCTTGCTCCTGTTCCTGTCTTCCCCCCACACACCTTCCGCTCTACCTCCTTAGTGCCATTAGAGCAAGTGATGACAACACAGGGAGGAAGTGCTGCCATGGCAACACCATCCGCCACATCCTCCTGCCCACCCCAGCCTTCAATCCTGTGGTGGAGCCCTGGCAGGAACAGCTTCTCTCCATCCACAAGGCGCTACCACTGACGAACTGGTGGAACTGGAGGTTGTTTCCAGCTCGCTCTCATTTCATTCACCTCTGATGTGGCAAAGAGCTAACAAAAGCAGCCTTCTTTGCTCATGAAAGTTATCTGGTGGAAGCACTTCTTCCATCATATCCTGATCTCTTCCAGCCATTTCAGCCCTCTCCATTGTTACCTGCCTACCTGGGGGGGTCAACAGATCATTCTTTCCCTCAAGGACACTTCCTGCCAGACCTCTCTGCTGGTACACCAGAGTATAACTTGGGGAAGGAACGGTTTGCTTTGGATGCCTAGTGGGACCAGCTGATGATCCCCTTCCTATTGCTCTTCGGAGGCTAGTGCCCCTCTCACCTCCTGTCCCACACCCTTTGCCAGGAACTACACCTGAAGTCTCCCCTGACAGCCTTAGTGTTTGGAAAGGCAGACCAAGGGGGAGTGGCCCATGGGGCCTCCTAGGAAGGAACTCTATGCCCCACCCCTGTCAAAAATAATAATGATAATAATAATAAAGGAGAAGAGTGGTTTAGGCCAGGGAGAAAAGCTGTGCTCCCTCTGGAGAGGGAGGGAGGTGAGGAGGGGTGGAGGCTGAAATCCCTGAGAAGGCTCCACTCCTCATAAGTGATTTGTTTTACTCCTTCTCTAAGAATTAGTATTCTGTTCCCATTGAACATAAAGGAAAACTGAGGCCATCAAAGGAGGGAAGTTCAAACCAGAGCCAACAATTCTCCTTCACCATCTCCATCAAAAAACATTACTGAAGGGTCTCCTGTCCTGGGGATGGTGTCATCCTGGTTCTGTAGGGAGGGAGGGAGGGAGAAGCTGCTGAGCCCCAGGACAGAACACTGGAGGGATTGGGTACAGGCCTCTAGGAGAACAAAGGGCTCGTGGCATCCTGGCTCAGCCCCCCCCTCCACCCGCACCCTCAGCCCCCCACCAGGCCGAGCACGCTGCGGGCTCCTGCCTCCAAGAGCCGCCCACGGCAGCACTTATTATAGTCTCAGCTGCGTCAGGAGGGTGGGATGCCAAATCAGGGGACCGCTGTGACTCCCCAAGTCCTGGGAAGGGGTCTCCAAGGCTGCAGAGAGAACTTCTTTCGCCCATCTTGCCCCACCCCCAAGGGGTCTCAACCTCTTTTCCACTTTGGCTTAACCACTTCAGGATTCTCACCTGGCTGGAGGATAGACAGCCTTGAACTCCAAGACCCTTAGAGGTGTGGGGGACAAGGAGCAGACGGTTTCCATTCACTCATCTGCCTCCTCTTTAACCTTCCGTAAGAATCCCACTCAGCAAACCTCAGGAGACTGAAAGGGAACTCTGAAGAGGCTGGCTCTCTCTGCCTCAACTGAAGGGTCCTTATACTTGGGGAGTGAAATCCCCCACCTTTGAGTAACCAGGTTTGCGGGCAGTGCCTCCACTAATTCATCATCCCCCCGTTGGTCTCCCACCCACCATACACACGGATCCCTCTCTGCTTCTGCCCGCTGTTTCTGAGGCACTCTTGGAGCTACGGTTGCTATGGAGACTGGATGCATTTTGGCATGGGGGGGGTATCAGTCTAAGACACATGCTTCTCCCTCCTCCTAGAGCTGGAGCCTTTGACTTACCCTGTGGCCTGGGCTTCTCCAGCACTCAGATCTCTCCCCTCTCTCCTACCC